TGAAGTACATTATATCCTCTGTCTCCTGGTTATAGGCTACTGCTGGTATTAAGTATTTCATTGTTGATTGCCGTCCATTGCAACACTTCAGTGCTGGACACATCACGGGAGCTATGCACATGGACACTGACCTGGTGAGTATATCAGTAATGGACATTGACATCTAATTTAACATTACACAGTTCATGTTCATTTTAATGTCATGAATGCACTGTACCTTACCTCTTTAATAGTTTATATGTGCTGAATTTATTTATTTATTTTATTATTATTTTAATTTTTTTGAAGTTGTTACATTCGCCTAAAGACTTCTCCACTGCGATGGACAGGCTCTGTGATCGTATCAAACAAAATGGCGGAGAGAACGGAGAGCACCTTTGCTTCCTTGGGTCAGGGAGAGAGCAAGAGGACCAGTATATGAACATGGTCCTGGCAAAGTTCCTTCAGCAATCAGTTCCTTACATCAGCATAGCTAGGGGAGGCTTCCTAGGTAAAATAATAATAATAATAATAATAATAATATTATTTTTTTAAAGAGATGTTGAGGCTTCTTGGGGCAAGGGCTGGTCAGTTGTTGGAGGACTTTGATTCCGAGCTATGTCATCAGCTCTACGAGGACTCCAGGGCATCAAGCAACCCATCACCATCACGCAGTGACTGTAACGTAAGTATTTATTTATTTATTTATTTGTTTATTTATTTATTTATTTATTAATTTATTTATTTACTTATTTAATTCTATTTTTATTTAATTCTATTTATTTTTATTTATTTATTAGTCTGATAGTGATACTGAAGCTCATCTCGGTTATTATTACAAGCAAAGACTCCAAGAGAAAGTGAGAATGAGAAATACCATTTTATAGCAAAAAAACGAACAGTATTATTATTATTATTATTATTATTATTATTATTATTATTATTATTATTATTATTATTATTATTATACTTTAGAGTGCTCAGATCTATACGTCATTAGCAGCTGGCTGGAGAGACAGGTCTCAAAGGCTCCGAGTGAGAATGGGCGAGTTATGGAAGTCACGACAAGTAGCAGCTTACAAGCAGAGACCTCTCGCTGGAGAAGAGAAGAAGAAAAATGGCCGACGGTATCACAACTTGCCAGAGAATGTTTTTGTGATTGCGGACGACGAAGAGGAGGAGGGAGAGAGAGAGGAAGTAGGCGGAGCTGAGAGTGAACTTGTTAATATTAGTTTGTATTCAACTTCACCCGAAATACTCCACTCATTCCCTTGTACTGAAGTTACTGATACTGGACACATGGCTACAAGGTAACTGCAGTATAGCCTCTCTTAATGGACACTCTCTATAGCATACACCTCCATTTAACGGACAGCACCTAGTGTACCAATTACATTCCTTACTGTATAAAATAACCTCCACATAAAGGACACCTCTGTATAACAGAGACACTTTCAAAGTGTCCATTATAAAGAGGCTAGTCTGTACATGATTTTAATTTATGATGTTGTTAATATTTTTCTTTTCTTTCTTTCTCTCCTAGTCATCTCCTCTTAACTAGCAAGGATTTGATGATATTACGTGAAGCTCCAGACAGAGCTGGTTGGGGTCGTATCAAACATCGTGAGAACTTATTAACAATTTTAAAAATCACCGCCAAAAAGCATCACCCAGACATTGTCACGTTTAAGTTTGGTCACCATGACAACGGTGCGATCGTCTTGACCCACCAGATTAGAGTGAGACTACCTAACACTCGTAAAGCAACTGAAGCTATTAGGAACACAGTGGAACAGGCAAACAAATAATAACAACCACAACAACAACAACAACAATAACAATAACAATAATAATATTGATACATGTACACGTGTACTTTATGATTTCAGTTTTATTCAACTCTAGTCTGTACAGCGTCTGACAGTTTTTCTAATTTTAAATGCTTTAATTAATAATTATTAATTAATAATAAAGCTACACAGCCTTGATTGTAATCATTATTATTACGGT